AATACATGTACTCTGACTTTAGCGAGCCTCAGGAATGGGGTTGGCCGATGAAAGCTTATTTTATATATACATAGGCTGCACTAAAAGTATCGGGAATGGAATATTTCCACTGTTCCTGTCACATTAAAATCTTTTGAATTGAAAACTCCTTGGTTTTAGAAATCGAATACCATTTATTTATTTAAAAAAAGATTCTCGCTCTTGTCACAAGGTTTTGTCAAACTTGTTTAGTCGTTGAGAAAATGGAATTGACTCGAAAAAATTCAAAAGCGATGATTTATTATGACTTTCGAAGTGGTTTAACACAAAAACAGTGTGTTGACCGGATGATTTCTGCATTTAGTGATGAAGCCCCATCCAAAACCACAATTTATCGCTGGTTTGCTGAATTTCAACGTGAATGTGTCAAGCTCAGTGATGATCCCCGTCAAGGTCGTCCAAAAACTGTAATCACCCAAGAAAACGTTGATGCTGTGCGTAAGCTGACTGAGGAAGATCGACATGTCACATACCGCGAAATTCAGGCAACTTTAGACATTGGCATGAGTCAAATACAAATAATCTTGCATGAACAATTAGGTGCAAAAAAGTTGTTTTCCCGATGGATACCGCATTCGCTCTGTGAAGAGCAAAAAGCGGCTCGCGTTACTTGGTGCGTTAGAACTCTCGAAAGATTCCACGCAGGATCCTCAAATGCTGTATACAACATCGTATCAGGTGGCGAATCCTGGATATACGCGTACGAACCCGAAACAAAAAACCAGTCACGAGTTTGGGTGTTCGAAAATGAGTTAAAGCCAACAAAAATTGTTCGTTCACGGAGTGTTGCAAAAAAAATGGTGGCCACGTTTGTCTCCAAAACCGACCATGTTTCGACTATTCCTCTTGAGGGACAAAGAACGGTTAATGCAGAATGGTATGCTAGCATTTGTTTGCCACAGGTCGTTTCTGAACTCCGTAAAGAGAACTGCAACCGCCGCATCATCCTCCATCACGACGATGGAGGATGATGCGGCGAGTTCTCACACCGCACACAGAACAAAAGAGTTTTTAGAGCAAGAAAACCTAGAATTATTAGACCATCCGCCGTACAGCCCCGACCTAAGCCCTAATGATTTCTATACTTTCCCTAAAATAAAGAATAAATTGCGTGGACAGAGATTTTCATCACCTGAAGAAGCTGTGGACGCCTACAAAACGGCCATTTTGGAGACCCCAACTTCCGAATGGAATGGTTGCTTCAATGATTGGTTCCATCGTATGGAAAAATGTGTCAAATTTCGCGGAGAATACTTCGAAAAGCAATAAATACATTTTTAAATAGTAATGTTGTGTCACTTCCTTGATTCCCGAAATTTTCAGTGCCGCCCTCGTATAGTTTGTTTTTTATATATATAGTTTGTTCCCTTGTCATTTTTTTATGTTGTGATGATTACAGTGAAGCGTGTAAATTGTTTACTTTGCAACCTTATGACAGCGGTAAGGCAATTTAAATAAGTGGAGCACATATTTATACATCATGTATTCTGACTGGTGAGTCAAGGAACTGAAAGGCGAATTAAAAAACGCGGTGTTTCCTTACAAGGCAATAAAGCTTACCTCATTGAAAGATATCTAGTTTTGTTCTGTAATTCATCAAACACACGTTAACCAAAGTTTATAGTCGTTGTAGATCAAAGGGCGCACAAAGTAACATTTTTAAACCTTATGACTTTTTAAATGTAAAGATTTCGTGGTATTTTCAGGTTAGAGCTTTATGACCAAAAATTTAAATTTTGGTCGATCTGAATCCGTAGATGACGACGAACCCAAAATGGAGTTACCATCAAAAGAATCTTATCGAGATATAAACAGTGATACGATTCTGCCACCTTTGAACAAGATAATGATAAGACATTATCTATGTTAGATTTTATCTCTCAATAATTAAATTTCTTTCAAACTTTTAGTTTTCTAGCACAGAGAAAAAAATAGCAACGGCTACACAACTATTTGAGACACGGCACTTACTGAGGGTAAGATCCCTTGTAGTTTTGACTATCCTGTAAAGTGGTGTTTTTGTCTCACTGTGCAAGTTTTATTTAGATTATGGCGAAACAAAAAAAAGTAAGTCGAGCAATTTTTTGATATATTAGATTTCGAATTTTTATAACAATATTTACATTATTTCTAGTTGATTTCTTGATAAATTCTCTAATATAAGGCAGAAAATTATGTGGGGAACATGTAACCATAGCCTGTTGAGTCAAACTAATTTGTGGGAGCTATATATCCTTTGCCCGTTTAAATTTCCTACTTATTTATACTAGCCTTTTCACCCGACGTTGTTTGTGATTTTTCTGAAAAACTGGTGGAACTCATCAGAAGATGATGAAGAGGACGAGGAATGTGCAGTTTCAGACTAGGTACCCAAATCAATAAATATGATGTTGGACCAAATGCAAGGTATGTCATCCGCCCAGTTGTTACTTATATTAGAAGGTATTGATGAAGAGATGCCACCGCCTTTACCTGCTCCTTCTCAAGCCCGTGCTTCTGCCGCCGGTGATGACATGCCGCCGCCTTTACCGCCTGGTCCTTTTCAAACCCGTGCTTCTGCCGCTCCTTCTCAAGTCCTTGCTCCTGTTGCTGATGAGGAGATCCTGCCTTCTTTGTCTGCTCATGCTGATGTAGCAGTAAATGATATTGATGTCTTTCCAACATATTCTGTTACAATCCCGAAACAGAATATGGACCACTAATGAAGAAAATTGGGTGGAACCTCAGTTCAGCGAAGGTTTAGCAGCAACAAAAGAATATGATCATAGAAGTACTCCTATTCAATATTTCAATAACATTTTTCCAGAAGAACTTTTTGAAATGATTGTATTAAATACTAATAAATATGCAGCAGTAAAGCGAAACAATTTTTGGAAAGACACTAACGTAAATGAAGTTAAAGCATTTCTTGCTATAATAATAATTCTCATGGGCCTAAACCCTGTGCCAGATATTGAACTATGTTGGAATTCTGATCCATTTTACAACAATGTTGAAATTAGTAATACCATGACTTGCAAAAGATTTAAAAAAACTTCAAGAGAACATACACGCATGTGATATTACAACCCATTTACCTCGTAATGACAGAGATAACAATAAACTACAAAAAATAAGACCTATGCTGACTATACTAAACAGAATGTTTCAGGACAATGCAACCAATTCACAAATTCAGTCTAGAGAAGAAAGTGTGATCAAATTTAAGGGGCGTAATAGGAAAAAGCAACATATGCCAAATAAGTCAATAAAACGAGGGTTCAAAGCATGGCGCCGTTGTGACTCAGAAACTGGGTATCTCTATCAGTGCGACATATGCATAGGCAAAGATAATGAACCCACCGAAGAAGGGCTAAGTTACAGTCATAAACAAATTAAGTAAAGGGCTACCAAGAAATACACTGTTGGTATTTGACAATTTTTTCATCCGTAGCTCTCATGGAATGCCTTTATAACAGAGGATTTTTCGCGATTGCAACTGTTCGGATGCAACGAAAAGGTCTTCCTAAAGATTTGGATATTCAAAAACCTCGAACTCCGGAAGAAAGAAAACAGATCAAAGATAATAAACTTGCACCAGGTGAATTTAATTTCCGTGTTTGTACTTTTTCAGCGGTTGTAAAATGGAAAGACACAAAAAATGTTTAGGTAATTACCACTGCAGAAGATCCTAAAAGAACTGAAATAATCCAAAGAACCCAAATGGACGAGCAAAAAAGGACATGTTCTGCCCATCTGCTATTGCACAATACACGAGACACATGAGTGGAGTAGATCATTTCGATCACTTCCGAAGCTCAACTAGCATTGGTCACATGTCTAATAAATCCTGGTTTAGGATTTTCTGGTTCTTCTTTGAGAGCGCTGTGATTAATTCATATATTTTGTATAAACACAAGAATGAAACCCGAGAAAACACACACAGGGATTTTAGAATGTGTTTGGCGAGAATTCTAAAATCTGTCACTAAAGAAACAAGATCCAGTGCTGTTCAAAAATAAAAAGGCGGAGTTTTTGAAGTGCCTGACAAGATGAGGTTAGGTCGGCAAGGACATTTTTTAAAATTGTTTACGTTCAAACGTTGCAGATTCTGCAGTACACGCAACCAAGAAAAATGTTCTAAATACGTATGCGAAATTTGTAATGTTGCATTATGCGTTGATCCATGTATGAAATTGTTCCACCAAGCTCATTCTGGGGCATAAAAATGTTTCATGAGACCATTAATAATAAATAAATAATCCATAATTATAATATTTTTTTTCTTCACACAAATTGCCTGTAATCAAAAAATATTTTTATTCAAATTATAATTACTGTTATTTATTAATTTTATATACTTAAATTAATAAATAATAGTAATAATAATTTTAATTAAAAAATATAGTAAATCCGACATAAAAAATATAAACACACAAACATTCGACATTTATATATATATGGGCGTTTCTCTGTAAACTGGGCAACTCATTGTCTCAGGCCAATATTATATAAAAAAGCACAGATTATTACATATTTCGTAGATAATTTTAAAAGATAATAACCTAATCTACCTCTGCTCAGTGTATAATAGCCGTTGAAATAAAGTTTATTATATCAAAAACGTCCTTATAGTCCTCAGAAAACAGTCCCTTGACGTGTCACCAAAGCAGTATTTTCACTTCAGATTAAATTAATTAAGACAATAACTACAGAAATCAAGCAAATTGTGTGATTATTCAAATAATAATAAAACGTTGTTAATGAGCGACCCGTTGATTTTTTGTAAATATTATTTTACAATACTAAAATATTAAGTTAAAGTTTGTCTCCGCATTTTGTGAACAGTTCCCCTGTCTATATTTTAAATTACTCGTCACGTAATCTGAAGGTTAAACAGTTACATTGCCACGTGTAACAAAACGTAAACGATCTGAAGTTGGCACGGTTGTCGCCATTAGCGCCCGTACGAAATTTTATTTAGTGTTGCACGAGTTTCCCTCCGCGGAACTCACGTCGTAACCTAACAGCCTACAGTCCTCTGGTAAGCATTATCTTTATTTCTTTTTATGTACTATATTGATACCTTAGACATTTTATATTGTTACAATAGATAAATATTCCCTGTGTACAGCAAAATAACATGACTCAATTACATTTTGAGCTACGTTTCAATGAAATCAAATATAACAGTCTCCTGGCAACAGCCCCCTGTCTATCATTAGGACAGGGGACTGTTTCCGCCTACAAGGGACTGTCTTTATATTATTTTTGTCATTGTTTTAGGTACGCGAAAATTCTCTAAGGAAGAGATTTTACAAAGAAAAAGAGAAACCGAGCGAAAGAGATATAAGCGTATTAAAAATGACCCGCAGAAAAGGGAAAAACTTAGAGAGAAAGCACACCTTAAATACCTTAAGAAACAGGAAAAGGGAACTAGGAAGCTTGTTAAGAATATGACGCCACGTGAACACAGGGAAGCAAAGAAGAAGTGGAAAGAGTATTGCACCAAGTATCGCAATAAGAAAAAAGTATTATCAAATATTACTAACATGTATATGAGAGATAATACTCCAGATTCTGATGTATCTAATTCATCTCAGATGCCAACAGCTGAAGTTGTAGAAGTAATTCGACAAACAAATTATAAAGAGAAGCTGCTAAGATATAATACAAAGAAGGAAAAAGATAAAGAAATTAGAGTTCTGAAAAAGAAACTATTGAAGTACAAGAAACGCCTGTCACGATTGAAGAAGAAAGCAATTACAGAGCGGAAAGATACACCAAACACTAAGTTACTGAAAATGGCAGATACTCCAAAATCTAGGAAAGATCTAGTTAAAAAGGCACTTTTTGGTGAAGTATTAAAAGAGCAATTACAAGAGAATTTTTCGGAGATGAAAACTCTAAGAGAAAAAAGACTTTTAGCTAAAGTTGTCTTAGGTAAGATTGTTGATAAATATAAGTTATGGCGAATGAAAGATACAGGTGTGATAACCTATAAAAGAATAAAAAAGGCAAAAATGACTCATAAACAGGTAAGAAAACCCAAAGTATCACATGAATGTGTAAGAGTAGTTGTAAATTTCTACGAAGATGATTCTAATAGTAGACTAGGAGCGGGAAAGAAAGAATTTATCACTAGAAAAGCAGAACGGAAACAAAAGCGATACATGCTTGATTCGTTACTCGGCTTATACAAGAAATTCCAACACCAAAAAAGCAATTTCAAACTGAGTTATCAAACCTTTTGTAGGCTGCGACCTTTTTGGATTGTCATCCCCAAAATTAATAAGCGTGATACTTGTTTGTGCATTAACCACGCAAACATTGACTTTATTAACAGCTTTATGTAATGGAAAAATCTTAAATTATAACAGTCATCAAAAATTGCTTCAGGAACTGTGTTGTGACCGCTATAATGAGCAGTGTTTGTCTAAAGAATGTCAGAAGTGTGTTAATAAGACTCCTTCTTACAAAGAATTTAATGACAGAAGACAAATCATATATAAAAAATGGATAGCCGAAAAACTAGATTTCATCGACCCAAGATCCAAAAAGACTCGTGGATTAATCAAATACATTAAGAAGTCTTTTAATGTGAAACCCCGCGACCTCATTACAGAATTGCATGAAGACCTAGAGACATTTTTTCGCCACGAAAGAAATATTGTACACCAGTTCAGTGCAATAAGGAAACTGAAAAGAACGCTGACAGGAAGAGATGCTCTAATTCATATAGACTTCTCTGAAAATTATTCCACTAAATACTGCCAAGAAATTCAGGCTTTCCATTTTGGCGGATCACGTACACAGATTAGTCTACACACGGTTGTAGTGTATTTGAAAGATACAGTAAAATCTTACTGCACAATCTCTACGAATGTTTCTCATTCTCCAGCTGCCATTTGGGCTCATCTGAATCCAATTGAAAACCTGCATTTCTTGAGCGACGGACCTGTGACTCAGTATAGAAACAAAACCATGTTTTACATTATGGCGACAAAAATATCAAAACGACTTCCACACATACAAAAGTTTACCCGGAACTTTACGGAAAGTGGCTAAAGGCACACACGACGGCGTTGGAGCCACCTGCAAGAGGACTGCAGATGCCGTGGTTGCTACTGGAGGCGATGTAGAAAATCTAGAGAAATTTATAGAAGCCATTGAATAAAGATGTCCTGCCATTAATTTAAGTATCATACAAGATGATGCGATTAAAGAAATGCCTGCCGAAATCGAACGAGAAGTAACCAAGGTGAAACATTTTGTTGGCACCCTCAAAGTGCATCAAGTCACTGGAAAATTCTATAACACTTTGGGTATAAAATACAATTCCATTGAGTTAGTAATGAAACATTTAAGCTGTTTTGGTGATAATGATTGTTGTCTACACTTCAATATCGGAAAAATAGTTTATGAAGACAAAACAAAAAAAGACTGTTGATTTTTTTTAATTTCTTTATTGTTCAATTACTTAATTTCTAAGCTCCCAAAAGTTTATGAAAATCAAAATGATTAAATTTTGGTAGTGAAATAGCATTTTTCATTTAAATACACAGTCCCCTGACATAGGCGACAGTCCCCTGCATCGATTTTTCAGAAAATGCTCAATATTTTCTAAACTAATGAAAACATTTTTGGTTCTTCTGTAGTTTATTATTATATAGGTGGATATATATTTCTTGAATAATAAATAACAAATATATAAACATAAAAGTTGTCTAGACAACTTTCTTAGGACGAGTTGCCCAGTTTACAGAGAAATGCCCATATATATATAGTTATCACATAAAGGGTAGTCTCTATCCAGGCAATGGGATTATGTTTTCCCACATTCTTTTTTCAAGTATTTCAGTGTTTTTTCAGAAATTTTTCAAAAAGGATTCACACAGCTATTCAAAGCCTAAATCCATATATAAAACTTTGTTTCTTGCAGCGGTTCTTCTGGGCCTGTTTAAGGGTTAAATAAAATTGGAAATCCTGAAGCATCACATTGTGAATGGCCTAGCTGTGCTGGAAGTGGAATAAATGCAGTATGCAAACATGTTGCAGTCTTTTTATTGGACATTGAGAACATGGTTCATCAAAAAATTATTTTGCTTTAAGAAGTATGCACTCAAAAACTACAGCAGTTCCATGTTAGAAAACCATACACAGGTAGTCCTGTGAAATCTGAAAAAATGTATCACAAGAAAAATAAACACAATTTGATTTTTGACCCATACCCATTAAAACATATGGAGAAAGAAAATTATAATAATAGGATAAGAAATATAATATTAAATTTTCCAAATCCCCGGATGCTACTTAAATAACTTTATGAACCAGCGAACCCATATGCATTAGAACATAATCATTATTATACTGAAATAAGTCCAGAGCAGAAACTTTTAAATGATTTAAATATGTCTTCAATTACTCAAGAAGAAATTAATAATATAGAAAATACTACCATTGGCCAAAATGAGTGTCCTAGATGGCATATATATCGCCAAGTAAGACTTACTGCAAGCAACTTTCATTTGGCACCTTAAGTCAAACACAATGTGTAAATATGCAAAAGAAATATTAAATAGTAAACCATTTATGACAAGAGCAATAAACCATGGTATAATTAATGAACCAACTGCTCTTATCAAATATGCAGCTGAATACGGTCTCACAGTAAAACCAAGTGGTATTTTTATTAGTTTAGAAAGACCATTTCTTGCTGCTTCTCCTGATGTGTAACTGGGACAAGAAACAAGTGTCCCTGTGCAAGACGATACCAAGAAATAAATACCATGACAGTTCCCTATTTACAAAAAAATAATGACACTTTAACATTTAAAAGAACTATCCCATATTATTTCTTAGCCCATATATTTAAATTCAAGGACAGTTGTACTGTTCAGGCAGAACATACTGGGATTTGAAAGTAATTTATATTGAAAAAGATAATTATTTTATAAATTCAATGTTATTAAAACAAGATACCATTTTTCCTATATTTAAAGCTTAATTTGAAAAATACATCTATTTTAACTATAGTGAGAACTTTCTCGTCAGGTATACCTCAAAACTCGAAAACGAGACTGTACACCCAGTGCGTGTTGCCAGTGATGACATACGGAACTGAGACGTGGTCCTTCACTGCTGGCCAGATGAGGAAGCTCAAGGTCGCTCAGCGAGCTATGGAGAGGGCTATGCTTGGAGTTTCTCTGCGTGATAAACTCAGAAATGAGGATATCCACAGTAGAACCAGAGTGACCGACATAGCCCAACGGATTAGTAGGCTGAAGTGGCAATGGGCCAGCCATATAGCTCGAAGAACCGACAACCGATGGGGAAGAAAGGTTCTCGAGTGGCAGCCTCGTACTGGCAGGCGAAGTGTAGGGCGTCCCCTTACTAGATGGAGTGACGACCTGGTAAGATATACAGGAAGTCGATGGATGCAGGTGGCTCAGGACCATGCTTTGTGGCATTCTTTGGGGGAGGCCTTTGTTCAGCAGTGGACTTGTGAAAGGCTGTAATGATGATGATGATGATGATGATGATGATGAGAACTTTAGAACAAAATAAAACACAACATTGCTATTTATGTCTGTTTTATTTATAATATCCCTAACAGTAAATATATGATACATGCCTAGTATATTATGATATTAAATTATTTCATTTTATTTACTATACCTTCTTTAAAATTACATAATACATATAAAAAAAATTGATGCTAAGGGAACATAGAAATGATTAAGTTCATCCTTTAATATTACATAAGCTTTTATTAACCCTATAAGTCTTTCTATGTGGACTCTGGCTAGCCAACTGTTGGTCTAATTTTAATTGCACACCACAAATTTGAGACTTTCCTTTTAAAAAGGTAGGAGGATATTTATCCCAATGCCTTTACAGGTGAACAAATCTTGCACATTAAAGCTCCTGTCTGCAGTGATGCTATCCCTAGAATCACAAATATCAAATAACTTGCTGTGTTCTACAATCTGTCTATCACTCACTGAACTGGCATATGAACTTGAACAATATGTTATGAGACCACCTCGTGAGGCACCAACTAAAAATTTTAGGGTATTCTTGTGTTTGTAAGTACTAAATGTGGCTCTTTGGTCATTAGGCTGGCTAGGCTTTTGTATTTCTATTTCAGTTCCATCTAGTATAAGCCTTGTTGACAGATAATATTTTTAAAACTATGAGGCATATAAAAATTTACTAAATTGTGACTAGGCCAAATGTCTATTAAGCTCCAGATATCGCTAACAAAATTTATCCATGTCATTATAACGTTTGACACTTTTTGCCTAACTCAAAATCAGTTGTATTTCTTCTGAGCTTAATTAATAGCATTAGAAACTGATCTCTCTACCTTCAAGGAAACAATAATTCTACTCCAAAGGTACTTAATATCATGTGCCATAGGCAAAATTTATTGCCGACAAACTGGCATACAGTTTGGCAAAGTTTGAAATATAAATAATGTAACACTCTTTCTATCTATGAATAAATAAAAAAAAGCATACTGATAATTAAATAAAATTTTGCCAATGTCTCCAACCCAGTATAAAAATGCACGGTCTCATCGTCTGCAAGTAATAGCTCTATAGAGAACAATCTTTCTATTTTAGATATTTGTGTACCACAAGTGTTCTGGTTTGGCATAACAAATGCAGGTATTGGAGAAGAACTATGTTCAATCAGAAGCTCTTCAGATACACTGCAGTCTTGTGGCATACCAATATCTCCTTCTAGTGGCAATATATCATCTCTACAATGTTGTGTACTTGAAGGTACGTCAAAAAGCTTTCATGAAGTTGCGTTTTACCAATTTTTCTTCTCTAGCCTTCGCGTTCTCAAAAATTAGTTGCATAATCCAAGGAAAAACAGATGGTATAACCCCTTTTTTCAAGAATTTATGTAGGTGTTTAACTAATAGAACAAGACCTGATTTTTAATATTGCAAATTACATAGGCAGATATAGCCAGGTACAAAATATTATGGTGTGGGGATAATTGAAAAAATAATAGTCAAAACTTTATTTATGATCAGCTTACCTGGGTATTTGCTTGTTATTTCATAATCACTTTCTACCACATAACCTCGTACTTTTTGTAGAAATCAAGTTTTCACGACGGATGGTTTTTTCTTTTTTGGAATTTATGGCCTGGTATCTAGACCTCTAGGCCAAACGGATGCCTCTATATTACTCTACTCTATGGGATGGCTTTTAACCAAAGGACCAGAGAGTTTTGGCGGGAACTTGACCGGCGGTGGTTTACTGCTCCTGTTTTATTGTTTAAATAATGGTTTGAAGTGGACTTTGATATGTAAAAGTGGTGCAATTTTGTGTATTAAGTGTCTGCGCATGTGAACTATTGGTGGAAACTGTGAAACAAGTGCTCTAATAGTGATGTGATTCTCAAAATAACGTGCCTGTCTGCTTAGGCGCCTTGAGATACCATCGCCAACCGTCAGCTGTCTGCTGGCTCAAGTTACCGTTACAATCTCCCAAGGGCTGCACAATGTGACGCATCAACATATTGTGAAGCAGTATACTATGAAGAATAATTATTATAATATAATATTGTAACTTCAGGCTCAGAAGGGCTAGATCCCAGAGCCGTAAAGCCAGTTATTAAGAAGAAGAAGCCAAAGGATCAGAGTAACTACAGAACGTAGATAGAGGATTGACTATGCTACAGAACGAGAGTTGTCGGTGTTTCCTGACTGGCGGGAGGAAGCGTGAATTTTTAAATAAAAATTACAAGTCTAATTTTAACTTCAACTTCTGAAGGAAAATTCTTTTATTTTTACATACATACATACATATAATCACGCCTCTTTCCCGTAGGGGTATGCAGAGACCACTTCTTTCCACTTGCTACGATCCTTGCATACTTGTTTTGCTTCGTCCACTTTGATTATTCCCTTCATACATGCTCTACGGTTTAGGGTACTCTTGACCTGGCCTTTTTTCAAAACGTCCCTAATTTGGTCTAGAAATGTCAGCCTAGGTCTACCCCTTCCAACATTTTCATTCACACTTGCTAGACACCTTCTGACTGTTCATAAAGGAGTGCAAAGCTCCATTCACCATGTTTCCTGCATTCACTCTTCTTTCGATATCACTCTCACACTTTCCATCTCTTGTAAACTTTGAACCCAGATACACAAACTCTTTCACCTGTTCAATTTGTTCATCTTCAATCACAATGTTGCAGTCTGTCACTGCCTCATCTTTTTCAAACACCATCACTTTCGTCTTCCTTACATTCATCTTCATTCCCTTTCTAACAAAAGCTCCACTCATAGCAGTTACCATCTCCTGCAATTCCTCGGCTGAAGACGCAAGTAATACTTGGTCATCAGCATAAAGAAAACATTTGACGAGTAACTCATTTATTCTCAACCCACTTTCATTCTCTTTTAAATCTGTCAAACAATTGTCCATGAACAGATTTAACAGCCACGGCGACGCTACACATCCCTGTCTAACACCTTTTTCGATATTAAACCATTCAGTGTATGCCCCGTTTATCCTTACACAAGCACTAGAATCCCTATAAAGAGATTGCATTGCTCGTATGAGGATACTGCTCACACCATTCACGGACAGTGCTGACCACAATTCATTCCTCACCACTCTATCATAGGCCTTTTTTAGATCTACGAACGCGCAGTAGACTTTCTTGTTTTTAGCCAAATACTTTTCAGCTATGCACCACAAGGAAATGACCTGATCCGTACATCCCATTCCCTTTCTAAATCCCGTCTGTTTCATTCACAACCCTTTCAATCAACACTTTCGCATACAATTTACCGACGACGCTGAGAAGGCTTATACCGCGGTAATTTATGCAGTCCTGCCGTGACCCTTTTCCCTTATACAATCAATGGCACGATTACAGCTTTGCACCAGTCTCCCGGTATTTGCCCATTTCGCCAGCACAGATTGAAAAGGCGGTACAGCTAACTAGCCACCAGGCCCTGTCCAGCCCTCAGCATCTCGACGGTAATCCTGTCATACCCTGCAGCCTTACCTAATCTCATACTTTTCAACGCTTTCACTATTTCATCCATGCTTATCTCATTTTCATTAACATTTATATTAGTTTCCGTGGAAGGTGGCAGATGCTGTACCTGCACTTCCTCTCTTTCAAACAAACTTTCAAAATACTCTTTCCATCTCTTTAACACACATTCTTCTCCTTTTATAATGCTCCCATCTTGACTCCTGATTGTACTCAGCTCCGAGGTAGAAGCTTTTCCTCTGGTTGTTTTGATGGTTTTCCAGAAAAACTTAATGTTTGACTGGAAATCTTCAGTGAGCCTCCTATCGAAATCATCCTTTCGTTCTTCTTTCTTTCTAGACACAATTTCTTTCGCTGCTGTTTTCAATCTTTTATACTTCGTTCTTGCTTCCTTTATCTCATCATCCGTTGCCTTTTGAACTTTTTTTTAACCAATCCAACCACGCTTTCTTCTTTTCTTGCACAACCCTTTGTAACGTGTGTCTTTCTTCCTTCCCTTCTTTTAGCTACCCCGCATACCTCAATAGCAACATTTAAATGTCTTCCACAAATCTTCAATCACTCCTATCTCTTCTATCCCTTTAAAACTTTCTTTCAGTTTCTCTACATACTCGTCTTTCTTTTATTTTTCCTGTAGATTTTCCACTTTTACTCTCTCCAAAACACTCGTAGGCTCGGCCACTCGGTGTCGCCACCGTTTAAAGAGGCCACGCATTCGGGCTATGACCAGGAAGTGGTCTGTGTCGAGGCCTACACCGCGGTATGCCCGAGTGTCTAGCACTTTCTTCCTCAGTCTTTCATCCACAATTACAAAATCAATCATACTTCTAGACTCACCTTCATCTCTTGTATACAAATGGATCTTTTTGTGGTCAAACATTGTGTTGGCCACGCACAGATTCCATTCCAAGCATACTTCAAGCAGGCTTCTCCAATTGTCATTCACTCTCTCGTCCCCAAACGTACCCAGAACTCCTTCATACCCATCATCGTTCATTTTCTCCGCATTTATTCAAAACCTCTCTCATGCTGTCCCAAAATTCCTCTCTCTCTTGTTGTGTTTTTAATGACCCACCTCCACGCAGATCCGTCGGTGCATAGACCTCAAGGATAAACAAGCGAGTAAGTCCGACTTTTAACCTAATCCAGAGGAGTCTTGGGCTTACACATTCATGCTCCATCACAGATTCAACCATTCGAGATGAAACAATCACACCAACTCCCTGACAGCCTCTGCTGGTTTGGGGGACTCCCAACCAGTATGCCGTGTAGGGGCCATGAACTGTGGTGTCACATCCTTTCCTCTTGGTTTCGTTCACGCACAGAATATCAATGCAACGTTCATCCATCATCTGACATACTTCATCTACCTTACCATCCATTCCTCCTCTTACATTCAACGTAGAGAAGCGGCTCTCCGTGGGCCGCTTTTCGTCCCCGCGAGAAACGAGACATGATGGGTGGCGAAACACATCGCCACCATTTTGGTTAATTAAAATATTTTTACGATTATCCATTGCGTTCCCACGAATAGCGAGGGAAAGGTTTGTCCCCCCCAGCAGAGCCCCGCATGCCAGGGTAAGGCTAGCCTAATTCTGGGGTCGCCCGGTCCCAGGGCAGTGTGGCACGCTAACGACTAGGCTCGCCCCTAGCCATGCATCCATCCGCGCGGCAGACGTTGGATTGGCGGAGGGTAGGAATAAGAAAAGGGGAAGGATATGTGGTGTGAAAAGGAAGAGTAAGGTAAGTTAGGGTAGGAAATAGGAAATGTAGGATATTACCGTCCAGGAGGGCACGGGATAGGACAGTAATAGCTACGGAAGCCGGGGTCGCATACCCGCATACCATACTACAACTACCGGACAGGTAAAATTTTTATACGAATTAAAATATAGAATAAAGAGAAATGCCGTCTGATAGTGACGGCATGGATAAAGATATGGATCACGACGCGGCCGGGAAAAGGAAACCGCCAAAACGTAATCAAGACCTGCAGCAGGAAAATGATGGTTTTTATAAACCATACTACAAATTAAATTATAAGAGTTTTCCCTGAGTCAATGGCAATGGCTGAATACACGGTTTTTATTGAGTCGTAAAGAAGGAATTAAACTTGGCAATACGAATCCCTTAATGTTGGCGGGAATTTTCAAAAACGAAATAAAAGGAGTCACTAATATAAGAAGAATAAACGCTTCTAAAGTAGGGGTGGTGTTTGCGCGGGCGATTAACGCCAACGACTTTTAAAAAAATGAAAGTTTCTTAGAGAAATATGATTACAAGGCATTTATACCAACAAGGGAGGTGGAAACGATCGGGGTACTCAGGTATGTTCCCATTAGCATAAGTAATGAAGAACTGTTTAAAAAACAATCATCGAAATATGAGGTCGTTGCAGTGCGTCGTTTCATAAAAAAAGTTAATGGACAGATCAAACCGTTCAGTTCTGTAAGTGTAACTTTTTTGTCAACCAACTTACCTGACTTTGTACATCTGGATTTATTCCAATATAGGGTGCATCAGTATATTGCACCGCTTTTACAATGTTTTAAATGCTTTAAATTTAATCACGGAGCTAAAATTTGTAAATCAGTGCAACGGTGTTCAATTTGTGCAGGTACACTGAATGTAAGGAAAATGCTGTAATTAAATGCATAAATTGTAGTGGCCCTCATGTCGCAATTTCTAGAGATTGTCCAATAAAAAAACAAAAAATTGATGAAAAATATAATAGGTCTACTTATGCTAAAGTCTTACAAACAAAACAAACTCAAAATTTATTTAACAATTATAACGAATATTTCCCTTCAATGCCTACAAAAACAACAATGGATTCAAATACAGATCAATCACAAGTTAAATCTAATAACTCTCCTAAAGTACACAAATAAAAGACGGAAACTACCCAAACTAATAATATACCACAACTAATAATAATGACACACTTATTGACCAAATTATAACAAATGACAATATTTTGAAATCAATTATTGGAGCATTGGTGGCCATGGGTAACTCATGTCGTAAACTGACTACATGAAGTATAAAAGAAATGCTTATTACTAATCTTAAAAACAATGAATAAACAATTTATTCGTATTTCACAATTTAATATACAATCTACTAATAATAAAAAACCTTTGCTTATTAATTATCTACTTAAGAATGATATAGATATTTGCCTGTTAAATGAAACATGGCTGCGAGAGAATAGAACTATCAACATTCCTAACTATAATTTCATTAATCAGAATGGAAAAAATGGACGTGGAGAAGTAGCAATATTAATTAAAAATAGTTTCAAATATTTTGTTGTCGCCACACTGTTCTATGATTATATGCAGTCAGTAGCAATAACCTTTACTACAAGTCTAGGTAATATATCCATTTTATGTGTCTATGCCCAACCCAGTGGAGGTCGCTTTAAGGTCAGAAGATTAAAACAAACTATTAACAGTCTACCTACGCCACTTTTGCTTTCAGGTGACTTAAATGCTCATCATATTGCTTTTGATATCTATAACATGTTAGACGAATGTAATCTTTGCATATTAAATAATGGACCTCCAACTAAAGTAGGAAGCATTAATTTTAATCAATCTTCTATCGATATTTCATGTGTTAGTCCTTCTTTAGTTCATTTATGTGATTGGCATGTACATGATGATCCTATGGGTAGTTATCACTATCCAACCATAGTCGACTTATATACTTGTGTTGAAAAATATGATATAGGAGAACCTTGCGAACGTTTCAATTATAAAAAAGCAGACTGGTCAAAGTTCCAGGCTGAAACAAAAAAAAGTTAGAAAACTTCACAATTGATACATCAAATTTACTTGATACGTATGAAAACTTCTGCAACACACTTCTAGAAATAAGGAAAGACTGTATACCTATAATTTCCAAACCTGATGTGTTTGTTATGAGAAAACCTGTTCCTTGGTGGGACGCGGACTGTTTGGAAGCTGTAAAGAAAAGTAAAAATGCTTTAAGTTTTTACAAATTAAATCCTACAATAGAAAATTATATAGAATATAAAAAGATTGATGCCTTCAAAAAGAGATTAATTAGTGAAAAAAAGAAAACAAGTTGGAGACGAATTTGTGATTCATTTAATAGATATACTCCAATAACTTATATCTGGAATTATATTAGGAGATTTAAGTGGGTACCTGTACATAAGCCATCAAAAAATGATGATTGGATTCCTTCGTTTTTAGATAAATATGCACCCATAACAACACCTTCTGAAAAGGAAATAGATATTTTAAACTGAAATACAATATTTAATCAGATAGCTACTGACAGTAGCTCTTTTCTACTGAAAGAATTTACTTGGCATGAACTTACTGCAGCCATCCAATCAATGAGAGATTCCACTCCGGGATTGGATGATATTCCATACAAACTTATTAGCAACATGCATGTTAATGGACAAAAAACTATTTTAAAAATATTTAATATGCTTTGGGACAATCAATGTATTCCAAAGTCTTGGAAAACGCAATGTGTGATACCTATTTTGAAACCTGATAAACCAGAACATGACTTCAACTCCTAAAGGCCAATATCACTTTCCTCTTGTGTAGGAAAATTATTTGAATATATGTTGAAAAACAGAATAGATTATTACATAGAAGCAAATAATATTTTACCTGAACAACAATTTGGTTTCATCTCAGATATAAATCATTCTTTTACCAGACATGCAACTACAGTTTGTGCATTTATTGATATACAAAGTGCATTTGACAATGTAGATCCTTCCATATTGGCAAATATTCTGTGTGAGATTGGTATTCCTGGAAAAGTATGTAAATGGATTTTTATTTGCTATATGACCGAACTATGTATGTTAAATTTAATAACATAATACATGGCCCTAGAAATGTATACAAAGGCACCATGCGGGATGCCTCTATATCTCCCTTGTTATATAATATATATACATGTTTAATAAGTAAATATATTACAAATAGAAATATAAGCTTTTTGCAATTTGCTGATGATCTCCTTCTATATACTGTAAATAAAGATGTAAATATAACGATAAACAATTTAGATTTAGCATTAGAGCAAATTCATGATTTTTATTTAAATAAGTTGAAATTAAACATTAGTCCTAGTAAAAGTGGAGCTCTCATTTTTTCCAAAAAATATTATACATGTGATAATTTTGTAAAATATAATAACATACCATTGCCTTCGTTACAAAAAAAAAATTTTAGGTATATTGCTTGATCAGAAGCTAACTTTCCATTAACTAACCATTGCCTTCGTTACAAAAAAAAAATTTTAGGTATATTGCTTGATCAGAAGCTAACTTTCCAAGAACATGTAAATAATCTGTGTAAAAATGCCTGTAGGGGTCTCAATGTATTAAAATCATTAGCAGGTGTGCATTGGGGAGCTAACCCAAAGTTGTTATCAATGCTTTATAAAAGTATAGTCCGAAGTCATTTTGATTACAGCACATTAGCATACTTAAATGCAAACAGATTGATTTTAAAGAGGTTAGATATAATTCAGAATTAAGCGTTGCGTATAATAACTGGGGCTATGTGCTCTACACCAATCCATGTAACGGAAGTAGAAAGTTGTATTCCTCCACTTTTACTAAGAAGGATACAAATTGCTGAACGGTTTTGTGTTAAATTAATCAGTTCAAATAATGATTTAGTTTTAAAAAAAAATACTTCCTTATGAAGTTCCTGAGTTTGATGATAGCTCATACATTGATGTAAATATGCTTTTATCTGGTCGATTACCAGACATCCTAAGGATTGTTTTATACTCACAGACCCAAACCAAAAATGTGTATAAAAGTAAACCATGGCTTTTATATAAAATAGAATATGATGCTTTACTGAACATTAATGTTTTTGTATGTCAAGAAAAAGTTAATTCTCAAATGGAAATGTTAAGATATCTAGCTGATAATGATTTTTATACAATATATACAGACACAATTACAATATATACATATCAAAATCTGAAGAGTACACAACTTCAGCATTTTATGATTCACAAAAGAAAATATCTAAAACTTTTAAAATTCACAATTTATGCTCTATTTTTACAGCTAAATGTTATGCAATCTACTTAACTTTATTGTACATAAAAAACATTGCGAATTCACAGTTTCTAATTGTAACAGATTCAAAAAGGGTACGACTTTCCATTGACACCCATCGAGTTGGGGGTTGATACGTATTTTTACAGAAAAGTTACACTATTATAAGCACACACACAAAGTTACAATATGCGGACGCGCGTAATATTTTAGAAAAAAGTTCTTGAAAATCAATTATTCTTACATTCTTTATGTCTAATCCTACAATAAAACTTACTCTACTCTATGAATAAAACTAACGCCATTTTTTATTGTTATTGTCAGTAGGGATGTCGATTCTTTCCGAAAAATATCGATTTTTTAAATAGATTCGAATTGTAAGTTGATATATCGATTCCCGAAAAATCGATTTCTAAAATATCTATATTTTTTTCATGTTTGCATTTATAATGTAAATATAAATCCATTTTATGAGAAAAAAAAAATCCTTTTCATCATAAAATATAGGGGGACTGATTCAGAAGGATTTCTGTACCTATTTTGAGACTACTACGTCTCCGGCGCTGCGGGAAGAGCAGCCTCTACGCCTTAGCGTAACAAATCGTAGGCATCGGACGAGCCGGAGCGGCTGAGGCTGGTCGCCGAAGGCGACCAACAAGCCGAAGCTGCGGTCCGCAGTGATCTGAAGTCAAGTGTTTCTCAAATATGGCGACGACTCCACCCACAAGAAATAGCGTTGTTTTTGTCGATATTTTCAGTATCGATGCTATATAAATTATGACGTATTGTCCATCTCATAGGTATATATTAAATAACCAAATATTTGATCACTACACTATTGCATTGGGTTAATCCTGTAATAATAGTTGTATTGAGATGATAAATAAAGGAAAGAATAGGAAAGTTTTGAAACTGTAATTGCTTTAAGATATGGTAAAGCAACAGTCAAAAGTGAGCGAAGAGACCAAGGAAAGAGCACTTGATTGGAGCTTTAACTCCTTTCTTCTTAGGACACGTATACGACGTGCACCAGAATATTATACTGAGTTCGTGCAACGAGCTAACGTTTTTTCGTAACGACGGCAATCTGCACATAAGCACTCCATCCGTGCGTCCCAAAAAAAATGCATGCGTCGGCGCATTTTTTTTTCTCCTCTGCAGAGATTAACCACCACTATAGGCAATGTATTTGTGCCGGACGGGCGTAACTCTCCGGAGTAAATGTTGTCGAAGATACTCCGCGAGCCGCTCACGTCCTACACCTATAGGTTCCGGAGGATACTTTCACTGCCGTCTCTGTGTATGCTGCTAGAGAACTGTGGACTGAGGTTCAGAATTAAAAATGCACGATTTATAAATTAAAACAGCAAGGGAGTGGCCAGCGGTTCGACTGATTAATTAGTCGCGAAATTTTATAACTATTATTTATTGAACACGGTTGTTCAACTATGGTTGTTCACTATTGGTTGGTCACTATATATTTTAAACAGATTTAATTAAAATGCGCGGTAATATTAAAATTTCTATTGGTATTTTTAAAATATCTATTGGTAATATCGAATATCTATTGGAAGTAACAAATATCTATTGGTATTTCCAAAATATCTATTGATAATATCAAATATCTATTGGAAGTAACAAATATCTATTGGAAGTATCAAAATATCTATTGGTAGTATCAAAATATCTATTGGTAGTAACTGGTTTTCTAACACTACTGACTAGCAGCTATTAATCAACTAAAATTAGTTGAATTTAACACTTGTGTAACTACGAATATCAGTTACCACCTTTTCCGTCTAGCTAACACTTTTCACTATATGTAACGGCGAATTTTCCGTTACCACTTTTTTCGGCTAGCTAACACTTTTTCACTATATGTAACTGCGAATTTTCAGTTACCACCTTTTTCGGCTAGCTAACACTATTTTACTATATGCAACTGCGAATTTTCAGTTGCCACTTTTTTCGGCTATGTGTAACTGCGATTTTCAGTTACGACCTTTTTCGGCTAGCTAAAGTTTTTCTATTTCACTATAACTGTTCACTGTGTTCTGCTACTAGTCACTTCAGCTACTACCGGATACTACTGCTTGTTACTGGTAGTTCTTCCTACTACAATGTTATATATATGCACTTGTTGCATACTGCAGGTCTCGGGCCTCGGGGCTAACCCCATTACCCGGAATCTCCTCGCGGTGCATTACTATGCACCGGTCGTGGGAGCCGTTCTGGCATTGTTGGGTGCTGTAGTGATGCGGGTTTGGTTTCCCGGTCACTAAAAATTTTTTCTTCCAAAATTTTTCAGGAGGCGGGTAATACAGCCTGCTCCTGAAAAAGTGGCATGATATGGCCTTTTTCCTGAAAAAGGCGCCTAATTCGGCCTAAGCCTGAAAAAGACGCCTAATTTGGTCTGTGGTTATCTGGTAAATTTTTTCGTCAAGTCAATATGGCCGGCGGCTAATGCGGCCGGGCGTCTGAGCTGGCCTGTCTGCGGTATTGCGGGTTATTACTCGACTCTCTAATCTCTATAGAGAGGAGTTCTCTTGGCAGAGGTCGCCCGTCCGGTGGTCGAGCATGTAGGGGTGCGAAATGTTGTAAGTGTTCATGTGGCCCGTTATCAGCGCGGTCGAACATACCGCGCGCTAATCGGGCCACAAATTCCTTGATAGTTTCCATCCTTAGGTTCGCCGTACACCGTACCTGGCTACCGACCTCTATGGCAATGCCAACCAGCCTCAGGATTGCGTCCGTGGTGGCAGAGTTGGCGGTTGGTTGTCTTGTAGTTGTTGTGGATGGTACTGGTCTCGGCTGGGTATAGGTATCTTTCCTTAAGGTAGAGCGCGCTCTATGTGTAGAGCGGGCTCTATTTTCTGATAGAGCCCTTTCTGGCGCTCTACCTTCTGTAGCTGTCCTCTTGATAACCTGCGCTTGCGAGGCTATCATTACTGCAGGTGTCGGGGTAGAGGTTGCTGCCTGAGGAGGAGGCTGCACCTTCTTCTTCTTCTTCCCCCGCTTTTTCTTCTTAGAGCGTCACTCTATAGCGTCATTAGCGGGGGCTGTAGAGTCGCCCCGGTGGTTGCTATTGTAGGTTCCACCGTTTCAGGTACAGGTGGTGCAGGTGGTGCAGTTGCGGGTGGGGGGGGGGCGGTTTGCCTCCCTCTCCCCCTAATGGTTGCCCATCCATCCTCTTGGATCTCTACTCTTGGGCGACTCTGAGGGATTCTCTGCGGTGCTTCTGGCAGTAGACCCGGCAGAGTAATCCCTTGCTTCCTATCTTCCTAGTAATCCTCCTCAGGACTGGGCAGCGTCGGTCGTTTGCAGTATGGTTCTTTGCGCAGTTTGCGCATGTAGGAGGTTCCTCTCTACCCCGTGGGCAATTGCTTGCAATGTGTTCCCCTGCACAGCGGACACATTTTACGGGTCTATGGCAATTAGCCGATGCGTGACCAAAAGCCTGGCAGCGGTGGCATTGAGCCGGTCCCACTCTTCCTTGCCAGGCTTCTATGACTACTCCTTTCATGTAAAGGAGTTCGTCGACTGCATATAGCTTGTTTAGGTTCTCTACGCTTAGGTGATCCAGCTGTGCATAGTAGAGGCACCC